TACCCTATACAGATTTCGCGACCCATTTTCGGAGAGGGAAAGGGGGCGCTCGGTACGCCACTGCTAAATTGTCCGCGGAGAACAGAGCTGCGAACAAGAAAACAGAAGTACGTTTACAACCTAAACTAGAATGATCACAGTACTGTTTACATGATATCCAGATGCAATTAAGAAAAAATGCATATCGAGACAAGTTTTTAAAAGTTAGGAAGGTTTCTAAGACTTAGTTTGTCAAATTCTTTATCCCCACTATTATAAGTTTTCTAGCGAAGGAGATATTGTTGTTATTTATATGCAAAAGGCCGCTCCAACTTAAGCATTGAACTCACATAAAACATCAAGAAATGCTGAAGCTCGAGAGCGTTCTCCAGATGGACTTTGGGCGATACATTCGTAGTAACCGCGGTCTTCCTTCTTCACATCTCGAAGAGAAAAATCTCCCTCCTCGAATAAATCTTCGTGATTTCCATGTGAGTTGCCAGATATGCTAACCTTCACTTCAGCTCGCAAGCCAGTCTCTGTGGTTTTCACAAGCCGACCAGCAAAGGTCCAGGAATAATGTACATTTTCCGACTGAGCATCCGCATGACAGCGCCAAAAGACGTTTGATCCCTGGACGACTGTCTTGTTTGTAGGCACAAAATCAAATGTTGGCACTTCTGAAAGGTCCATGTGGTAAATATGTTATACGAAACCTTATGCAAAATCTGTTACTGGAAAATCTGAGTTCAATGTGTGATTTCGCTTTTCCTTCCACATTCACGGCTAAGCAATAATAGTGACCCTGTAAAACTTCGTATGGAATGATTGTTGATGCAAGTTTGCTCCAACCTCATGGTGTTTTTCGAGGTTTGTTATGTTCAAGTTGGAACCAGTATTGACAATCCTCTCATCCTTAAATCAAATCACGCTTCTAAAACACTCCATTAACAAAGACCAAACCTTCAACCAAGTTATCTCCGGTGGAGGTACACCTTCTGCTCTGCACTCTATAGAGAGAGAATCGCCGATTTTGCTGTAGCTTATTTGATGATTTGTAGGCGATATCACTTTGGGTGTGGCTGAAAAAATTCGCCAGTTGTACTTGAAAGAGAAAGAGTGATCTAGTGCTTATAATAAACATTAATTTCCACCAGTCTAAAATCAACGCAATACTTGGCCAAAACAAAAAGACTCTTTTGGGAAAAGTTTTTCGGAACTTGTCGCTTCAAAATTTTATTAATCTTACTTGAAAATGTTCGCATCAAAAAACCAAATTTTCATGAAACTAACAAGCAGAGCTTCAAAAACAACGCAACATCTTTCCAGGGTTCTAGGAGTATGTACACTTAGCTAGAGCAGAAGTTTCGTATTGTTATCATTTTAGTAAAATGTGTACACCTGTCTTTCCCTTCAATGAGTAAAGCTCGAAAAAAAAGTTTTGCATTATTTTTGAATACAAAATTGGAACGGCACTAAGCATTTAAGAACGGCACTAAGCATTTACATCTATTCTAAAGCCTCCGCTTCCGATTTCCCGTTTCAAAGACAAATAGCGCTACTTCAAAAAAGTGATCACTCAGGCGTCGCTCTTGCTTGGAACGTCGGCTTCGACAGATCCTG